AGATTTTCACAAGTTATCATTTGACAACAACTTTGAATTTAACTGAAGATTAAATTTAATTGGAATTTTCAATCGGGGATTAAATTCAAAGTTGATGTCAAATATTGGTTTCAACTGATAGTTTATAAAAATCTAAGATAAAAATGTAAGATCGGTTTTGCTCTAAAATTAACCTTTTAGGATTTACAGCCTGTCAAAGTTGCAAAAAAGTCAATTTTCAACTGTCAATATTTCCAAAACAGTTGAACGGTATATTACATGAAATCTGCTCAGAATTTTACGTAGAATCCGAATATCCAATAATATACAGGGTATTCTAGTTGAAATAAGAAATTTGGAGCACGACCAGCTTTTTTGAAACACTCTGTATATGCGAAAGTGAGTGTTTCAAAAAATTTAACTTCAATCATAAATTTTTTATTTGAGACACTTTTTTCTAAAATGTCAAATAAAAATGATAGAGGGGGGTGACATTTATAAACAATAACCCTGTACAATGGATATACACTACGGTTGTAAGACCAATGATAACATATGTTGCACTTGTATGGTGGCCTAAAGTGAACCAAAGACAAGCAAACCTGAAGCTAGCCAAAATCCAGAGACTTGCGTGTCTTTGTATTACCGGTACCCAGAGAAGCACACCAACGGCAAGTATGTCAATCTCTGGGAGAATACACTACCTACTGTATTCTAAGCAGAAATATATGCCATCGACTCATGTCTGAGAGAAAACCTGAGGAGGGGAAACACAGGTAAAACATTCTTATCTGCTCAGACGGTCAAGCGTCGATTAAAGCACAGCTTTGAAATAAAATCCAAAGTTTTCTGGGAATGCTTGGAAAACCTCAAAAACCAAAGTATGGCGAATAAGGTAACCCTTAAATGGGTGCCAGGGCATAAAGGAATTGAAGGAGATGAAAAAGCAGATGCTCTGACAAGAGAAAGATCGGCAACCAGTTATACTGGTCCTGAACTGGTAATTGGCACCACAAAATCATCGGTAAGAACAAAAATAAACCAATGGGTGTATAGGCAATACAAAACCTACTGGCAAACTCTTCCGAAGCTCAGACACAGTAAGCGAATGGTACAACAACCATCACCTAAACGTACTGAAGAAATCCTACAAACTAAACAGGAATCAAATCAGGCTAATAACTGGACTTATAACTGGACACTGTAGCCTCAGAAAACACCTTCACACAATGGGCATCCTCCAAGAAGAACCCATGTTGCAGACTTTGTGACGAGAAGGATGAATCCTACATAATCTTTGAATGTGAGGCTTTACGCTGGTGAAGATACAGATAGATAGGGCCACCTAACCCGGCCTGTTCATTCTGCATCTTAACCAACCAACCAAGTGATTGTATAAGTTATGCGTTTACCTCGCTGTTTACTCACCTAAATCGACTCGCTGTAGGAGGCAAAACCTTTTAGGGGTGCCATGTATATAAAATGGAAAGTTTGTAGGTACCTATTAACCAAAATCGCAACAAAAAAAAATTACCGGAAAATTCTTTGTACCAGTGCTAAATTTCGGGGGGGGGGGGGTTTTAACCCCCAAACCCCCCCCCTTGGGTGCGCCACTGGTCACAGCTTTATGTTATTTTCTTCCCAATTCACCATATAAGAATTTTTAACTGTCTGCTTGGAGTATACCTATACCTACATATTGTATTGTGCTCCTCTGAAACTGATGTGCTAAACAAAACAGGGCGAATCTCTGAAGATGGATCTTAATAAAGTTTATTTTTTAACAAAAAGTATGTATGATGTATTTGTTATTATTTTAGGTATTAAGGTTGTGCTGGTATCATTCTTACTTTTCAATATAAATACCTATACTCAAGTAGCAGGCAGAAATAGGGCCGAATTCTTAAGAAGAGCATTGGCCAATCTTTTCGCCAGTAAATTGTCTATACATTATACATTGTTCGTGGACTGGCCAAAAAAATTATTTCAAAATAAGGGATTTGCAAAATCGAGCATATTCTAAAAGGTTTGATTTTGATCTAAAATATTTTTTGATTGATTAATTAGTTTGTTTTTTCTAAGTCCTGACTGGTGAAGAGGTGACGGACAAAGGTGGTGATGAGATGGCTTATTTATTCAAATCAACGCCTCAAGCAGAAATTCCGAAAAAATTGGATTTTGTTATGTTTGAGGACTTATAACGACACTATTCCATTAAGGCGGCGTAACAGATCCTTTTTGAATAACGTCACGTGTAACCTTGAAAACAGAGATGTGACGAAACTGGGATGTTTTTTTTGCTTAGTGGGAAGTACCTTCTCGTGCGCAATATTGTTAACATTTTTCTTGTTACACCAACTTTCATAACTGCCCGGCATGGGTTTTTCATATACGCTCCTAGACTTTGCAGGCATTAGGCCAGCAACTACATTATCAGCCAAATTTTCAATTTCTGGGGGGTACATAGTGGGGTACATCCATCTATAGAATCATTCATTATTCACTGTTTGATGAACATTTCAGTGCATTTAACTTTGACGATAGCTATTTTCGGGTTCGAAAAAAGGTCGGTTCTAGAACGGTTCAAAACAATCGCACAGTTTTTTGATGAAATTTGTGATAGCTAAGCCGTTGTCATTTTGTTGATTGTTGAACTGTGCGATTGTTTTGAACCGTTCTAGAACCGTCCTTTTTTCGAACCCGAAAATAGCTAATATGACAATTATTGATGACAATACAAACAAACAATTCCGTTGTTAAATACTTAAAAGAGCCTCCTTCAATTATTTCCGATAAAGTCAAATGCAACAGAAAAATGTATTGACTATAATCGCCGGAATATAAAATATTGTATGGAATTCGGATCATAAATATTCATTATGGCACACGCCGTGTTATCAGACTCGGCTGACGCCTCGGCTGATAATATTGACGGCTAGTACCATAATGATCCTTATAACATAAATATCTAGTAAAATTACTGAAGTTATAAGTGAGAGACGTCTACTAAGTACTTACCTTTATTGTTATGCTTTCAATAATGATGTCATTTTTAAATGTCAAAATAGGATAATAGATATTTAAACAATTAAACATCATGAATTATTTGAGCTTTGAATTAAAATAACGGCCGGGACAATGGACAATCTAAGGCCGGGACTATCCAATTCCTCAATTTTTAGAGTTTATTATTAATTGAGGAATTAATTGGGACATCTCGGGCAAATTTTTCGACCGGCTAGAAAAGTATTTTTGAGCGTTTTCAGTTTCAAACAACTTGAAATATCATAAGAAATGTAGTCGTATTGTAAATTAATGATACAGTCACCGGATACCAAAAAAATCAAACCCTTTAAATATAATTAATGAATATCACTTAAAACTTACCTTTAAAAAACCAAAACAAATTGCGTAATGCTACAAACTGAACAAAATGCTCACCAATAATAATTTCATACGTTTTCGATTCAAATTTTGAACTTGGCCTGATTTTGAAAAAGTATGGATCTGTATTTATTATTTCTTTCATCAACTTTTAAAACAGATCGATGATTAAAACATACAAATGAAACAAAATAAGTTTGTCTATAATATAATGTACGTAAATCCTTCGACTATTCCACTATATCCCGACCGGGCTCGATGCCAAACTCAGCCAAACTTCCCGTATTTTCAATGGCACGGCATTTTAAAACTAAACCCATTCATTACATTACCCCTTAAACATGCGCCAATCTGTATAGTATACCTATGTTTCAAGGATTACTTTTGAGGCTTACCTCGTAAAAAAACTCCAAGGTTACATAATTATACCAACTGGGTCAGTGGCCCAGTGAATTTAATGAAGACAAAGAAACGATGATACCTATGAAATATTTTTTTTTTAAATGATGAACACCGACTTCAAGATATAGGTACCTAAAGTACTATTGATGCCCTCTTTCTTCGTAAGTATGAAGAGGATATAGGTACCTATATCTTATAGGTACCTATCTTATAGAAAATAAGATGAGAAACTAAAATGGAACAAAAAAATCCAACTCCAGTTAATAAAAAAATTAAATAAAAAATAGAATGAGAAAGAGAAATAATTACCTATGCAAAAGTCAAAAAAAAATAACAATAATAATAACAATGAATAATGATACCTATGAGCTAAACTTTTAGTGAAATGGAAAAGAATAGTAAATTGTTGTTAAAAACATCTAAACTCAAGTTTTTCCAAGTGAAAAATAGATTTGACGAGACAAAAGAAATTATTGAGCCTGAAATTTGAGATTTTTCATAGCCAAGAAACAAAACAACTTTAATTTTGAATGGTGCAAAATTTGGTGCAACGTGCAACTTACCAAGAATTGCTCTATTTTTATAAGGCAATTTTTCTCTAAAAAAAATCATTATTGTAAGGAGTTTTCTAACTTTGTGCAGAAAAAAGAATTCATGTTTAAGCAATAAAAATATACACCTAAATAAAATATAAAAATCCTCTTCTATATGATAGCACAAAGTCCAGCTCACATCCGCCAAACAATCAGGAAACTTAGAAATATTTGTCCCTTTAACAGATGTCACTACTGTTATAATAAATCCTGAACGCGAATAGCGTGACATCTATACGTCATTTCAAGTATCTCGATTTCAAGTACTGCACTCCGATCATAGAAGACTGCACTGTTATAGTACTGTAGTTGTTAGGTAAATATCTATTAATTTATTTAAACAGATGTCACTAGTGCGGTAATAAATTCTGTTCGCGAATAGGGTGACATCTATACGTTATTTCGAGTATCTCAATTTCAAGTAATACTTTCATCATAGAATTCACAGAAACAATAATTTCGGAATCACTTACTTGAGTTTCTCAACTAATAAAAGAAAGTAAAATTAAAATTTGTTATAATTTGAGCTTCTCTTCCTGAAAACCGTTTGTTGAAATGTTTAAAAAATCTTTTAGCAAGGAAAAAAAAAAGAAGAAATCTTTAATTTTCAAATGTCAAAATATATAATAATAACAAAAACACATGGGAGTTTTTTTTCAGTGGTTATGTTTCTTCTATAGTTGGTTGAAAAATTGTTAAAAATTGAATATTACATTATTCAAAATGAAAATCAGAAGATACAAAAAGGTCAACAAAAACCTAAACTATTACACGAACAATTTCGGTTTCCGGAAGCCCTATCAACTATTAGCAGACGGTACTTTTTGTTTTGCTGCTCTCAATGTAAGTTCAAAGGATGAAACTACACCCCAATATTGTTTAATTGTTAATGATTATTATTGTAAAAAATATATCGCCTCACCCTCTCAAATTTTTTCATCAAAATAGGAATTTTAGGTATTTATAAGTACATATTCAAAACAGGAGCCCTCGCAGGTGCCACCAACAAAAATTTCACAGTCAACCTGACCAGTTCATATCTTCTTTTTAAGCAATGGATAATTCTCAGTTTTATAGTTGCACTATTATACATAAAAAAGAAAAAAATTGAAAAATTCTCAGATTAGATTGAACATGTAATTACAATATCTCAAGATTTTTTTTTTGTACACTCCAGCAATACTTAACTTATGGACATTATCGAGGGGTAAATAGATCTTGCAGTCGGTGTACATATTCCTCACAATCTTCACACAATCATTCACAATCATATCACAATCAGTCACAATCTCACACAATATGTCACAATCGTCACACAATCACACACAATGTCTCACAATCGTGTCACAATCTCCTACAATCGTTTCACAATATCTCACAATCGTTACACAATCTCTCAGAATCTCTACACAATTTACCACCATTTGTCGCACGTGAGGTCCCTCCAAATAGTTTTATTTCACTTTTGTATGCCACCTGCAGCACACATTTCTGATCTCTAATTGTACTGAATAGGAAAATCCTAAGGGGAATATCCATGAACCCAACCTCAAAAATGTTTTTTGTGCTACCCATTCTGTAAGTTGACTTTTTTGACCTACGTCCATGAACTAACTGTAAGTGTCACTTACAGTCCGGGTCAAAAAAGTTACTTTTTTGACCGGGTCAAAAATAGTTATTTACATTCCAAGCTGCGAAAGTATACTTTTAGGTGCGAGGTGTATTTAAATAGCCGAAGCGAAGCGGAGCGCAGCCGAGGCTATTTGAATATCTCCGAGCACCTAAAAGGACTTTTGCAGCATGTAATGTATTAAACTTTTCATTCTTCCCCCGATTTTTATTTTATTTAAACTTAAACTTATTTAAAACCATTCAAGTTATAAAACACACAATTTACAGATGCTGAAAATTTTCTGAGCCTAACGCGGTTTATTGCCATAACAATATTGCAGTGGCGGCTATTCAGGTGCATTAGGTGAATTGCCACTTCACCAAAAAAAAAATAAAAATAAAACCAAAAAATATGTACAACTAATATTCAGTTTTTCCTGCCGCCACTGAAAAAAAAGTAGAATGACCACAGTTTTGACGACAGTTGTTAAAGTTAACGTTACTTTGGTAACATTCGTGTCAACAAAAAATATATTGACAGTTTTCAAATAAGTATTATTTTTCAATATAAAGTTGATGAGTACGTCTCTTTAAGTTCAATATTTGGCTAAAATTTAGTTGAAAATGATTTCCATTGAAAAGGCAGCAATTATCGCGTGCAAAAGTTTGTTACCGGACAAATCCAAAGACCGTTACATTACAATCAAGCCTATGAAAATTTTATCAAATGGTGTACAGTGAAAGATAATAACGGAAGATGACGTTGCTTTGGAACAGGATTTCAATCAGCATTTGCTGTTAAATCTTTCAGGAACATAGAACAATTGCAATTTCACATTTAATTTCCAATCTTAATAAATATTTGATATCACTAATTATTTGACGTTTTTATTTTTTCATCGTCCAGGGCACGAAAGTTTTTCATACCTAGCAACCGATGACCTAGCATGTTTTACTTTCGCTTTCGCTTGCCTATTCAAGATAAAAAAAGTGGATTTTCGTAGGGGGGAGAATGAAAAGTGTTAATATGAAAGATGAAAGGTGAAAATTGCTTGGTTCATATTTCTGTCAAAATAATGTCACAAAAACACTCGACTTCTTAAATAAAAAACCCAAAAAAAATTAAGGATACTTACAATTTTATTGAAACAATTGAAACGATAACTAGACTTCAAAAAGTTGAAAGTAGCATAAACAGATAGGTAATAATATAAAAATGAGATACTTCATAGTTATTTACTTTGTAATTTTGAAAGTTAAAGAAAAAAAGCCATTAATATTGTTTCATATCAATGGCTTTTCATGATGTGATTCCGAGGGGTGAATAGCTGACCCAAAATGTGTACACCGACTGCCAAATTCCACAATCTCTAAAGAAATTTGCTTGATTGTGTGTGATTGTGTACGATTGTGAGTGATTGTATAAGGATTGTGACTGATTGTGAGCGATTGTGACTGATTGTGTCACGATTGTGAATGATTGTGTCACGATTGTGACTACTTGTGACTGATTGTGTGAGAATTGCGAATGATTGTGTTAAGACAATAGGTGTTTTTTCACGTGTCAAATGTTTTAAAACGTTTTTAAAACTGGTTTAAAACAATGTCACATGACGTCATAACTTCTCGGCGCGAGAAAATGGTTTTAAAATGTGGATTGTATTGTATTTCGATATGGTTTGACCAATTTTGATGTGACGTCATGGGTTCATCGCGAGAATATACTGTTTCAAACCTGTTTTGATACAGTTTCAAAAAAGTTCACGCGAGAAAACACCTCTGGGTCTTTATTCTTGAAACAGGGGAGCAGCATTCCCGGGAGAACGAGTGTTCCGTCTTTATTACGTATATTATCATTTACATATCATTGAGCAAGACGAAGCACTCGTTCTCTTGGGAACGTTGCTCCCCTGTTTCAAGAATCAGGACTCTGGTATAATAATTGAGTTAGAATAAAATAACAAAATATCAAAACTAAATTAATAAATAAAAAGAATATTGAGTTTTTTTATCTTTCTTTTACACAGTACTCTGATTGAGCAGTTGTACAGGGTGGCGCAGAGGAAAAGCATGTTTTTCATGTAGTTAAAATTTTTTATTTCCAAGATAATTTTGTTTCAATTAGGTACTCGATTAGGAACAGCTAAATGAAGTAATAATCGTGTTTTTCTCAATAAACGAGTCAATTAATAATGAAAAATAATTTCAGTCAAAAAGTGTCGTCCTGCTTTGGGGTCACACATCTTCAACCCCTCTTAAAAGTTGTTCATCACACTTGAAACATGCGTTTCTTCTGCGTCACCTATAAAATCTAAATTTTTCAATTACAGGGTATCAAAAATGCTAGGTTATCCAAAATACAGGGTGTTGAAATTTAAACAACCCCCTTTCATATCATCTGGAGGGCTAATACTAGGCTGTATTGATATAGGAAGGATATTTAAAAATTCTTTTAATGCACCCCCATTTTCTACTTGGAACCACCCAAAAAAAAAAAAATTGAAACAAATTGTTTTTTTCTACTACCGTGCCTAAAGTACTTACTTTACACACTGTTCAGAAGACTTAAAATGTCACTTCACACACTAGTGCGTAAAGTAATGTCAATGACAGATGTCGACAACTGTCAATTTGGTATTTTTCTGGTAAATTACTTCACGCACTAGTGTGTAAAGTGAAAATACTTCACGCACTAGCGCGTAAAGTATTTGTCTAAGTTTATTTTTTTACTACCATGCGTAAAGTACTCACTTTACGCACTATTCAGAAGATGTAAAATTTCACTTCACGCACCAGTGCATAAAGTAATTCACTTCACACACTAGTGCGTAAAGTAATGTCAATGACAGATGTCAACACTGTCAATTTGACATTTTTCTGGTAAATTACTTCACGCGCTAGTGCGTAAAGTGAAAATTCTTCACGCACTAGTGCATAAAGTATTTGTCCAAATTCATTTTTTTACACATATTTGATTGGTAGTAGAAAAAATTTTGTATGCAATACGTGCGTAAAGCCCCTTTTTTCACTCATGTGATTGTGTAACGATTGTGACAAATTGTGAACGATTGTGAATGATTGTGTGAAGATTGTGAGAAATATGTACACCGACTGCAAGAGCTATTCACCCCTCGTGTGATTCTTTCCTTAGCATTCAGGATCAGTTTGGGGTCTTCTTAGCGAACAAAGCAAATAGGTGCACCATTAAATTCATGATATTTATTATCTTGAATGTACGGTAGCGCAAAAAATATCATATGCACCTCGACTTGTAGCGTGTACTTTTTTGGCCTCAAATGCTTGCAAACCTTGGCCCTACGGGCCTCGGCTTGCAAACTGCATCCTCAGCCAAAAAAGTAACACTTACAAGCCTTGGTACATAAATAACTATGGTTGCCATTGAGGTAGGTGGTTGCCCAGGTGGTTGCTGTGCGTGCAAGTTAGAAACAAGGTTAAAAAAGTTTAACTTGGAAAACAAAACGAATTCACCTCAGATGGCCTAAAAATCCAGACCTAGATGTTGCAGGAAAAAAAAAAAGTGTAGGTACAGGATGTTTACAAATTCATGAGTAAGTATATGAATCTGGATAACCATAAGAGATGCGGGTTCGGTTAAATTGGTTACGCAATTTCTTGCTGACCAAAATGCCGTTTCGGAATCTGGAAAATTCCGGAAAGGTACTAAAAAAACGAAACCGTTTTTATTTTTTCCTAAGCTTATTTTTGAAGAAAAACTTCAAAATGAATTGCATTTCATCGATGGCACTTTTTCTTTTCTACAATATGGCTATCAAATTTGAAATCCGACGTTCGGTCTTTGGGCCACCCCACCATCAACTTTATTTTTTCGAATACGGCTCTGGCATTTTGTGTAGTTCTTTGCTAGCTGACTTCTTCAATGGAATGGTGAATCAAAACAATCGATAAAATGAACATTTAGGTCACAAAAGTATGATATAATTTGTATGGAGATACTGATCTTTGTCAATCAAAAACAATTTTACCCTCGAATTCACCCGCAATTATTATATTTGTTATAAATAATGAGTTTGACAAAGACAAATTTACGAAGAAAACAATATGTGTGACAAAGTTAAGTATCTCCATACAAATTATACCCTAGGGGAGCATACTAGGGCCGATACTATTCCTGGTCATGATAAACGATCTGAGTTCGGTATGCAGCGGATTGGAAGAGTCTGCAATAACAAATTATGCGGATGACACCAATC